TTTCTTTGAATCTATTTTTGCTTAAATTGTTTTGTTTTTTCTTTCTTTTCTTTATCTTTGTTATATGCAGAAAGAGAAAAATTTATTTTTTAATTTATTTTTATTTTCTAAATATTTATTCTGTTTCATTTTCTTTATTTTTATTCTACTTTGTAATTTTTTTTTAATTTTTATGTTTTTTCTTGCCTTTTTTCCCCCTTTCCCTTTTATCTCTACTCTATCAAGCTTCTTCCAACAAACAGACCAAACACACCTAGGACCTAGCTTCCTTAATTTGATATTTTTTTCTTTTTAATTTCTTATTATTTGTATTTTGTTAGTTTCTTCTTACTCCAAAATGACAAAATAAAAGAATTGACCCCAAGAGAAAGAACAGGAAGAAATGACAGCCAGAGACTTAATCAACACTGATATAAGTAGGATGTCTGTCTGAACTAGAATTTCTAACCATGATAATTAGAATACTTACTGGGGTTGACAAAAGCACAGAATACACTAGATAGTCCCTTTCTGTGGAGATAAAAGAAATAAATCTAGCCAGGCTGAAATAAAAAAATGCTATGACTGAGATGCAGTCTTGAAGGATGCCATGATGACAAGGATGGATAAAGCAGAGCAGTGAATCAGTGATATAGAAGATAAAATTATGGAGAATAGTGAAGGAGGAAAAAAAGAGGGAAACAAACACAAAAAGACTTAGAGAACTCAGTGACTTATTAAAAGGAAGAACATCCAAATCATATGAGTCCCAGAAGATGAAGAGAGAGAAAAAGAGACAGAGGTTTATGTGAGCAAATTATAGCAGAAAATTTTCCTAATCTGGAGAAGGACACAGACATCAAAATCCAAGAAGCACAGAAACTCCCATTAGATTTGACAAAAAATGACCATCATCAAGTCATATCATAGTCAAATTTACATAATATACAGATAAGGAAAGAATTTTGAAAGCAGCAAGAAAAAAAATTCTTAACCTACAAGAGAAGGCAGATCAGGTTTGCAGATCTATCCACAGAAACTTGGCAGGCCAGAAAGGAGTGGCAGGATATATTCAATGTGCTGAATCAGAAAAATCTGCAGCCAAGAATTCTTTATCCAGCAAGGCTGTCATTCATAGTAGAAGGAGAATGAGAGTATCCCAGAAAAACAAAAACTAAAGGTGTTCATGACCACAAAACCAGGCCTGCAAGAAATTTTTAAGAGGGACTCTTTGAGTGGAGAAAAAACCAAACCAAAACAAAACAAAAGAGACCAAAAAGCAAACAAGACTAGAAAGGACCAGAGAACATCACCAGAAACTCCAACTCTACAGGCAACACAATGGCACTAAATTCATATCTTTCAGTACTCACTCTAAATGAAAATGGACTGAATTCTCCAATCAAAAGATATAGGGTATCAGAATGAATAAGAAAAGGGGACCCATCTATATGCTGCTTACAAGAGACTCATTTTAGACCAAAGGACATCTGCAGATTGAAAGTAAGTATGACCATCTATCATGCCAGTGGTCATCAAAAGAAAGCTGAAGTAGCCATACTTATATCAGACAAACTAGATTTTAAAACAAAGATTGTAACAAGAGACGAAGAAGGGCATTATATCATAATTAAGGGGTATATCTACCAAGACCTAACAATTGTAAACATTTGTGCCCCCTACTTGATGGCACCCAAATATAAAAATCAATCACAAACATAAAGAAACTCATATAGAATAATACCATAATAGTAGGAGACTTCAACACCCCACTTAAAGCGATGGACAGATAATCTAAGCAGAAAATCAACAAGGAAACAATGGTTTTGAATGAGACACTGAGCAAAATGGACTTAATAGATATATTCAAAATATTTCATCCTAAAACAACATAATACACATTCTTCTCGAATGCACATGGAACATTCTCCAGAACAGTTCACATACTGGGTCACAAATCAGCCCTCAACATGTACAAAAAGATTGATCACATACCATGTATATTTTCAGATCACAATGCTTGAAACTTGAAATCAACCACAAGAAAAAAATTGGATAGGCTATGAATATTTGGAAATTAAAGAACATTCTATTAAAGATTGAATGGGGTAACCAAGAAATTAAAGAGAAAATTAAAAAGAAAATTTTCATAGAAGTCAATGAAAATTAAAACATGACAGTCCAAAATCTCAGGGATGCAGCAAAGGCAGTCATAAGAGGGAAGTATATAGTAATCCAGGCCTTCTTCCTAAAGAAGGAAGAAAGGTGTCAAATACACAGCCTAAAAAAAGAGTTGGAAAAGAACAGCAAACAAAGCCAAAAACTAGCAGAAGAACAGAAATAATAAAGATCAGAGCAGAAATCAATGATATAGAAAAAGACCACACAAAACAGTAGAGCAGATCAATGAAACCAGGGCTGGTTCTTTGAAAGTATTAACAAAATTTATAAACACTTCAAGTTATTACAAAGCTGTAATCATCAAGACAGTATAGTACTGGCACAAAAACAGATACAGATCAGTGGAACAGAAGAGAACCCAGTAGTGGACCTACAAACTTATGGTCAACTTTCTTTGACAGGGCGGGAAAGGATATCCAATGCGGGGGGGGGGGGGGACAGTCTCTTCAACAAACGGTGTTGGGAAAACCAGACAGCAACATGCAGAAGAATGAACCTGAACCACAAAAATAAACTAAAAATTAATGAAAGACCTAAACCCAAGGTTATCAAAATCCTAGAAGAGAAAACAGGAAACAATATCTCTGACGTTGGCCACAGCAAGTTCTTACTTGAGAGGCAAGGGAAACAAAACCAAAAATGAACTATTGGGAGCTCATCAAGGTAAAAAGTTTCTGCACAGCGAAGGAAACAATAAGCAAAGCTAAAAGGCAACCAGTGGAATGGGAGAAGATATTTGCAAATGACATATCAAATAAAGGGTTAGTATCCAAAATCTATAAAGCACTTATCAAATTCAACACCTAAAAAAAATCCAATGAAGAAATGGGCAAAAGACATAAATAGACACTTTTCCGAAGACATCCAGATGGCTAATAGACACATGAAAAGATGGTCAACATCACCATCATCAGGGAAATAAAATCAAAACCACCATGAGATTCCACCTCACACCTGTTAGAATGTGTAAAATTAACAACTCAGGCAAGAACAGATGTTGTCAAGGATGTGGAGAAAGAGCAACCCTTTTACACTGCCAGTGGGAATGCAAACTGGTGCAGCTACTCTGAAAAACAATATGGGAGGTTTCTCAAAAAATTAAAATAGAACTATGCTATGAGCCAGCAATTGCACTACTAGATATTTTTCCAAAGGATACAAAAATGCTGATTCGAAGGGGTAGATTCACCCCAATGCTTATAGCAGTACTATTGACAATAGCGAAATTATGGAAAGAGCCCAAATGTCCATTGACAGATGAATAGATAAAGAAATGTGGTTTATATATACAATGGAATATTACTTGGTGATCAAAAAGAAGGGAATCTTGTCGTTTGCAGCAATGCAGATGGAACAACAGTATATTATGCTAAGCAAAATAATTCAATAAAAGAAAGACAAATATCATATGTTCACTCAATCCAGAATTTAGGAAACAAAATGGATGAACATAGCAGAAGGCAAGCAAAAATAAGATAAAAACAGAGAGGGAGACAAACCATAAGAGACTCTTAAATACAGAAAACAAACTGAGGGTTGCTGGTGGGGTGTTGGATTGAGAGATGGGCTAAATGGGTGATGGACATTAAGGAGGGCACTTGTGGTGATAAGTGTTGGGTGTTATATGTAAGTGATGAATCAGTAAATTCTATTCCTGGAATCATTATTACACTGTATGTTAACTAACTTGGATTTAAATAAAAAAATATATAAATATTATGAGGCTTATGAATTATATTATCAGTATGCCCTCTGAATTGTAACATATCCCTTAATTTACACAACTGTAGTATAAGGGTTATATAGTTTCCTATTATACATTTCTAGTTATTATATTTAATTTTAAGATTAAATTTAAATATGTATACAAGGAATGCACAAATCTCAAGTGCATAATTCAATATTATAATTGCATGAAAATAACATGTAACTATTAGGAAAAAAGGAAAATGATATAGATGGATCTACACAAAGGAATGAAAAGCAGTAGAAATGATAACAACATTCATAAAAATGATATTTTTATTACTTGAAACATTAGAAAGATGATTGACTACTTAAAAATTAATAATAATAAAAATAATATAAAACAAATAACAGCAATAGCACAAATGCTAAATTGGGAGAAATGGAATTATGTTGTTAGGTTCTTATAGTGCATGGGAAGTGCTATAATATTACTTGAAGTTAGACTGTGGTAAATTGAAGATGTATACTATAAATTCTAAATCTATTACTGAAACAACAATTTGAAGTATTATTTCTAGTAAGCCATCAAAGGAGATGTTTTATGAAGAGTAGTTTCTCCTGTTATCCCTAAAGATGCTCATGTCCTAGTGCCAAATCCTGTGAATATATTATCTTAAGTGTCAAAGAAAAATTAAGGTTACAGATGGTATTAAGTAAGGTTGCAAGTAATCTGCTTTAAAATGGAAAATTATCTGGAGGATTAATAAATAGAGGATTATCCTGGTGGTCCAAAGCAATAACAAGGAGGCTACTGTGGAAGTAGAGTCATAGAAGAGTTAGAGGATTATTTGACCACAGAGAAATATTCAGAGTAATACAATTGCTGAGTTTGATGGTTAAACAGTGTGGGCATTAAACAAAGTGGGCAGTCTCTAGAAGTTGAAGAATCAAGGAAATGGATTCTCCACCAGACCCACTGGAAAGAAACATCTTGATTTCTAACCCAGTGAGACTCATGTTGGACTTTTTTTTAAAATGTTTTATTTATTTCTGAGAGGGAGAGAGAGACAGTGTGAACAGGGGAGGGTCAGAGAGAGAGGAGACACAGAATCTGAAGCAGGCTCTGGGCTCTGAGCTAGCTGTCAGCACAGAGCCCGAGGCGGGGCTTGAACCCACGAACTGTGAGATCATGACCTGAGCCGAAGTCAGATGCTCTCAACCGACTGAGCCACCCGGGCGCCCCATCATGTTGGCTTAACCTAAAGAATGCTTAATAAATTTGTGTTGTTTCAAGCTGTTAACTGTGTTATTTGTTAAGCAGCAAAAGGAATCTCATATATGAGATAAAATCAGAACATTAAAAAAATTCACTTAAACCAAACATAGACATACAAAAGAGAAAAAAATAAAACCAGTAAAGAATTACAAAGAAAAACAATTAAGAGATGATAGATTAGATTTTTTTTCAAATTATTTTGAGGGGCACCTGGGTGGCTCAGTCAGTTGAGCATCTGACTTGGCTCAGGTCATGATCTTACTGCTCATGGATTTGAGCCACGTGGGGCTTGCTGCTGCAAGCATGGAATGTGGTTTGGATCCACTGGCCGCCTCTCTCTCTGTCCCTTCCCCACTTGTGCTATTATCTCTCTCTCTCTCTCTCAAAAATAAGTAACATTTTAAAGAAGAAATAAAAATAAAATTAAAAAATAAAAGTTTTATTATTTTGAGAGAGAAAAAGCATATGTGTGCATGAGCTGGGGAGGGACAGAGAGAGAGGGAGAGAGAGAATTCCAAGCAGGCTCCATGCAGTCAACACAGAGCTTGACACATGGTTTGATCTCGCGTGAGATTCAAGTTAGTTAACATACACAAATTAGTTAACATACAGTGTAGTATTGATTTAAGGAGTAGAAGTTAGGGATTCATCATTTACATACAACACCCCCTGCTCATCACAAGTGCCCTCCTTAATACCCATTCTCCATTTAGTCCATCCCCCCACCCACCTCCCCTCCAGCAAACCTATTTTTTCTCTATAGTTAAGACTCTCTTATGATTTGCCTCCTCTGCTTTTATCTTATCTTAGTTTTCCTTCCCTTCCCCTATGTCCATCTGTTTTGTTTCTTAAATTCCACATATGAGTGAAGTTGTATGGTATTTATCTTTCTCTGACCTCTTTATTCACTTAGCATAATACACTCTAGTAATCTGATTTCTATTTAGGTTAAATTTCTCAAACACATAATGCACTCAAAATTAATACATTTCATCACATGAATTTACTCCTTTAATCTCCTGCCTCTCAAACAAGCCCCTTTCAGGGCAAGATCCCAATCAGATAACACAATAATAATTTTCTATTAAATGTAAGCCTGACTTTACTTCTAATCTCACAAACAAAATTGAAATTTAGAAAAATACAACAAATGCAAACCAAACAAGGAAATACATACCTTATCTTACATTTTCTTGTACTTGTAAAAAATAATTGATTTTAAGTGTTTTCTCAATCTTCCAATCTAAATGTTGCTGAAAACTTTAATTGATTAAATTAAAATTTATTGAGTACCTAGTTCTTGGAAGGCCAAATTCTAGGCAGGAATTTTTATTTGGTAATATCCCTAATTGTATTTATCTCACTAATAATCCTATATTACTCATTTCTTGGTTGACTCATTCATTATTTAGTAGCATGTTATTTAACCTCCATGCCTTTGTGGTCATTCAAGATTTTTTTCTTGTGGTTGATTTCTATTTTCATAGTGTTGTAATTGAAAAAGTTGCATGGTATGACTTTGATCTTTTGAATTTGTTGGTACTTGTTTTGTGGCCTTAAGTGTGATATATTTTGGAGAATGTTCCACATGCTCCAAAAGAATGTATATTCTGCTGTTTTAGGGTGGAATATTTCTGTATATCTGTTAATCCATCTGGTCCAATATGTCATTTAAAGTCACTGTTGCCTTATTATCTGTTTGGATTATCTGTCCGTTGATGTAAAGAGGGTGTTAAAGTCCCCTATTATTATATTATTATTTATTATTCCTTTTATGTTTGTTATTAATGGTTTTATGTATTTGGGTTCTCTGATGTTGGGTGCATAAATAGGTACAGTTACTATATTTTCCTGTTGTATCATCCCATTTATGATTGTATAGTTTCCTTCTTTGTCTTTTGTTATCGTCTTTGCTTTAAAGTTCATTTTTTTTCTGATAAAAGTATTGCTACCCCCGCTTTACTTTCACTTCCATTTCATGACAAATATTTCTCCCTCCCTTCATTTTCAGTTTGCTTGTTTTTAGGTCTGAAATGAGTCTCTTATGGGCAGCTGTAGATGAGCTTTGCTTTTTTAACCAGGCTTTTTGACCTGAGCATATAGTCTTTTTACATTCAAAGCAATTATTGATAGGTATGTACTTCTTGCCATTTTTTTTTACTTGTTTTACGTTTGTTATATAGTTCTCCTCTCTTCCTTTCTTCTCTTGCCCTCTTCTCTTGGGGTTTGATGGCTTTCTTTAGTGATATATTTGGATTCCTTTCTTTTAATTTTTTGCCTGTCTATTACTGGCTTTTAATTTTGAGGTTGCCATTAGGTTTATATGCAACATTTTATGCATATAGCAGTCTATATTAAGTTGAGGGTCGCTTTAAGTTTGAACCTATTCTAAGAGCACTAAATGTTTACACCTTCTCCAACCCCTCTATTTTATGTATATAGTTTCATACTTTGCATACTTTTTTTTTTGTGAATCCTTTGACTGATCTTTATAGATATACCTTAAAATTATTGTTTTTGTGCTTCTTAGTTGTTTTTTTTTTTTTTTTAACTCCTGCTTATGGTCTTTCTTTTGCATTTAAAGAATCCCTTTCACATTTCTTTTAAAACTGTGATGAATTCCTTTAAGTTTTGTTTGAGAAACTCTTATCTTGTATTCTGAAAGATAGCCTTGCTGGATAGAGTATTATTGGTTGCAGGGGTTTTTTTTGTTTTGTTTTTTTGTTTTTTTCCTTTCAGCACTTTGAATACATCATGTCACTCTCTTCTGGTCTGCAAAGTTTCTGCTGAAAAATCAAGTGACAGCCTTATGGGGTTTCCCTTGTATGTAACTCTTTTCTTTTCTCTTGTTGCGTTTAAAATTCTTTCTTCATCACAACTTTTTGCCTTTTTTCTTAGTATGTGTCTTTATACTGATTTTTTTTTTGGGGGGGGCATGTTCTCTGTGCCTTCTGGATTTCTGTTTCCTTCCTCAGATATGGGAAGGTTTCATCTTTTATTCTTCAAGTAATTTTTTTGCCCTCTTTTTTCTCTCTCTTTTCCTTTTGGGATTCCTATAATGTGAATGTTATTATGCTTGATAGAGTTACTGATTTCCCTTGATATATTCTCATTTTTAAATTATTTTTATTTCTCTTGAGGTTTTATATTTTCTATTTTTTTGTTGAGGGTCTCATTGAGGTCCTTCACTCTTTTTTCAAGTTCAGTGAGTAGATACCACTACTTTAATTTCCCTATCAACATATTGTTTATCTCTATTTCATTTAGCTTTCTTGCTGTGATTTTGTCCTGTTCTTTCATTTGGGACATATTCTCTGTATCCTCATGTGTTTAACTCTCTGAGTCTGTTTCCATGTGTTAGGAAAGTTAGCTGCATCTTCTGTTCATGAAAGTAGTGGCCTTATGGAGAAGAGGCCCTGTAAAACCTTTCAGTGCAGTGTCCCCTGTTCACCAAAACCTGGCACTTCAGAGGTGTGTCCTGTGTGTATTGTGTGTGCCCTATTGTTCTGACTGAGCCACATGTACCTTCACTCTAGTCATCCGAAATGGCTCACTTTGTCTGCTGTGGGCAAGGTTTGGTCCCTGTATTGTTAATGTGCCAGTCTGTGGTCACTTCAGGCTTTAGTTGGGTTGGACCAAACATTTGCCAGAGTTGTGGTCACACCAAACTGCAGGGTGCTCTCCCTGTGCTGTCCCTTGAAGGGCTTTCATTGGTGGGCTTGGCCTGCAGTCAGACCAGATGTCTACTCCTAACCCCCTGATGGGGCCACACTTGGACTGGTGTGTGTGGTTATCTTCCCTTCTTCCCTGGGAGGAGTCACTTTAGAGTGGTAATGGAGCTATTGGAGCTACTTGCACAATGTCACACTTGTGTGTTCACTTTGGATGGACTCTTGGTCTGCAGGAGAATGCAAGGGTGTGGCACATGGTGTTAGCAAGGTTTATGTTGGTCTGCTGTGGGAGCAGGCCTAGATCTGCTTTGTTGAACTCTTGCCAAGGTCATGTTGGAAGGGGCAGATTGTAGGGAAAATTAAGGATGAGGCATGCTGTTAGCAAGCTAGTACAGAGTGTTTGCACTGGTTTCTGCAGTTGCCTGTGGTAGGTGGGCAAGGGATATGATGCCTGCCTACTCTTGTTTTTGGAAAAGACTCCTAAAGATCCCTGCCCTTCCAGCACATATTCCAAGATTAGTAATTAAATCTCCTTTGCACATTACCCCAGGCATTTTTGAAACTGCTTCTTTTATGCTGTATCTCAGCGGGGCTGTTTGTTATTCTGTCTTTTTAATGGCAGAGACTCAGTTTCCTATTGCCGTCCTGCTCTCCCAGAGCCAAGGCTGCTTATTGGTTCCAAGTGGTAAGCTCCATTGATTATAAAAACTCATGAAGTTATAACCCTCTGATTTTCAAAGCCAAATGTTATGGGGACTCATCTTCCCAATATGGGTCCTCCATGCGTGGGATACATGGTTTGGGGTCTGCCCTGTCCCTTCTATAAGTTTGTAGGTCCCTCCCTCTCACAGTCTTGTGGTTGGTTTGGTTCCTGACTGAATATCTTCCCTTCCTTCCATTTTTGATATGGCCTTTTCCCTACCATTAGCACTGGAGAGTCTGTTCTGCCAGTGTTCAGGTCATTTTCTGGGTTATTTGTTCTGATGTGGCTTTATCTAAGTGTGTCCATGGGGTGAGGTGAGCTTAGGATCCTCCTACTCTGCCATCTTCCCTGGAAGTCTCTGAATTGCATTTTATTGCAAAGGGATATTTGCCTCTTCTTTATTACTATATATTAGACTATTAGCTTTTCTTTATTCAATTATATATTTTAAAAATTATACATTTTTGCAAGATAATGGATAAAATAAGTAATGGATTGTAATAATGAATCAAAATAATGGATTTCAATAAGTAATGGTAATTTTTAGCATCATAAATTATATCAACTAATGATATTTTTGCTTTTGAG